ACAACTTCTATACAACGACAGGAGACTGCGACCATACAAAAGGCCACACCATCTTGGTCTTCATACTTAACGGACAAGTCTTCATTCTAAGTGGATTCCGAGATTATCAGTAGAACGTAAATGGAGGGTTTGGTTACTCTAGGCCAAATAAGAAGATGAAAGACTGAAAGTAGGATTTTCCCACAAATAGATGAGTTTTAATGACAAATACATTCGGGCCTCATTGGCAATCCCTCTATAAGTGCGGTTTTGGGGAGGCCTGGCTTGCCTTGAAAGGCTTAACTTTCCCTGGACCAAATTTGTTTATCAAGAATGTTTACGACTGCCTATTTGAGCCGTAAAATAATGAATACGATTTTAATATATTTTTGTCACAAGCCTCTAACAATATACGGTGTATAGGTTAGTACAAAGAAGCTTTTCCCTTGTTTTTACAGGGTCTGTGCACGTGTATTATTCCTAAGTGTAGAACAAAAGTAAATATCAATCTTCCAGTCCTTTGAAGCTTTATCGGGATTAAAAGTAGTTCATTTGGCCCATTTTAAGGGCAAGAGTTTGTTAACTCTCTTTTCTAAGGGACGATATATAAGGAAAATGCAGAAAAGAGAGTAAACTGTTAATGCTTATCATAAATCAACGAATCTTTCTTCACCTTCCCTCGTCCATTCAGGATATCGGAGCATCCCACTTCATCGTCAGACACCGATCTATCCAGAGGTTGCTTCTTTGTTCGTCTTCATCTCTATAGCAAGACAGGATTACATGCTTTCATCCGTCAGCAGCCCGAATGGTGCGCTGTGTTCTTTGTCAGCGGCCGCCTCGAGTCAAACAGTTTGTACGGGCCTCAGCAGCAGAAATGAGGTAGAAAGCATGAGTTATTCTTTTTAAATGGCTTTAAATATTAATGCGTCTACGGCCTACCTTTCAATTACAAAAAGTAAGTTCGTAAAACTAATCTTGTTTTGGACTTTTCAGCGCCCCGGGGGCTGTAACATTTTCTATGCTGGTTTAGCTTTTGCGTAGCCATGGTCTCTTTCTTTGTGGATACTCTGCTTAAACCCATTTCCTGAGCGGGATAATGTTTATAGGGAGCTTACATGCGCTCTTATTGTAAAATATCTGTTCATTCAGACGTTTCAGGCATCTCTGTAGAAGTGGACTAAAGTGAAGAATGTAGTACCTCCCATCGGGGAAAGATTCAATTAACAGGTTTTGGTGCTTTCCGAATGAAGCCACATCGCCAAACCGAGGTCACGTCTCCCTTAAAAAGCAAGAATATGCTTCTTTATGACGTTTCCTCTGTCTAGCAATAAGCTTCTGTTTTCATGTTATTCATTATCATTA